CACACTTTATGGCCACCCAAGTAGACCATCGAGGCCAGCACTGGGGCCATGAGCAAGTGCGTCTCTGACTTTGCACACATGGAGATTCCAGCAGGAAGGGGGAGGCCTGAGTGGGCACGGATGAACAGCACAAGGGGCTGTGTCCCCTGTGTGCAGCAAGCTTTGCACCCGGTGGCCTGTGGCCTTCGCATTCCCCAATTGGTGGGGCTCTGCGTGGCAGTCACGCTGGCCACTGCTGGGAATCTACAGGGGGTGCCAGGTATGGAGCTGGGCAAGGATGATGCCTTTTCTTGCATGGTGGCTGTGAGCTGGTCTGATCTCTCCCTTTCAGCCTCATCCTCTACATCCATCAAGTGAATTGAGCGACTCTGCCAAGGTCATGTGGCAGCAGCCCAGAGGCATCCATCTGGGGCTACCTGGTCTCAGCATCTCCTCTGTGTCCCATGCATGCCTCCTGATCCATGTGTAAATAAATTTGAGACATCTCTTTGCCAAAATGATGAATGATTCATTTATGATGATGGAAGGATGAACAGTACAGTTCCAGGTGGGATTCCTGAAGTTATGTCACCTCTTCAGGGCTTGGAGGTGGAGGAGGAACTGGCTCCAGGGGCAGGGGATGGGGGTAGGGTGAGCCTGGGGTCTTAGAGCAAAAACCCAGATGGCGATGTGGCTCCTGCACTCCCAAACTGGTCCTCACAGACGGGGTGGGAGGTGACCAAGGAGAACAGTTGGCCCAGCCTGGGAGTCATCAGTGGCCTTGAGATACCCATGCCCCCAACCTTTGTCAAAGGCTCATGCATGCCGGGCACTGGGTGGGGCTCTGGGCATGCACTGGCTGGCTGGAGCCCCTTGGGAGATTTTGGTGGAAGAAGTCACTGTGGATCCCCTGTGCCAAGCACAGGACCCACTGCATAGTCAACACTCTGGAAATCTGAATGGATAATGAATGCATAGATGAATAAATATGGCTCCCAACCCAGGAAGGCCAGGATGCATTCCTTCATTCACAGAAGAAAAAAGCACAGACTTTCAGGACCCAATTTGTCACACAGGTGCTATGAGAGCATCAAAGATTTGTACCTCCTTCTCCTTTTGGGGAGGGCTCAGCAAACATCTCCCTCATGTATGTTGGGCATATGTGCATTTTGTATGTTCTACTCTGTGTATCTTATACATGTAACCTATAGATATTGTGTGTGCTCCTGAAATCTAAATATGTACAAACAATCTTTGCAGCACATATGTGCATGTGGCATACACATCCTGGGCCTCCAGTGTACTCTAAATTCACACACATATACTGCAAAGACAGAATTTGTTCATGAACATGGGTATGCTATGGGGATACTGTATATGCTTTTAGTATTTTGGTCTAATATGTATAAATGGTATGTGTCTTGTGCCTATATGTTCCACGTGCATGTGCATTTATTCAGCACAACACACGTCTTGTTAATGAAGTTCCAAGTGTATGCCATGTTTATTCTGTATAAAGAATGCACAGATGCCATGTCTGTGTGTTCCATACATATAAGTGTGTCCCATGCAGATACTGTATGAATATTCTCTATGTAGACTTGATATGTGTAGACCTGTTTGCATGCAGTACCCACAGTGTTGTATCATATGCAGACATAGTAAGCAGACCCAGTGGAGAATACACATGGTATATCAGTTAGGGTCTTTGCAGGAAATAGCCCTCTCAAGTTGAGCAATTAATTAATGGGCTATTCTTAAACTTTTCTGCAAAGAGTGGGTAGGATGGAGGGAAAGCAACAAGGGAAAGTGGGGGTACCCCAGCATTAGCAACAACGGAGAGCTGTCAACATGCTTGGGAAATAGTTACTGGAACTTGTAGAGAGTAGCTCTATGTTGTGAGTCTGCTGGCAGATGCAGCTAACTGCCAAGGTCCACATCTTCCTTCTTTCCTCTGACGTCCTACTGGAGCTGTCCACTGGATGAATTCAACTGGAAACCGAGGGCCAAGGAACACTTGATGGGGCTTATGCAGGCTTGCCTCCGAGAGAGGAGAGAGGGTCTGGAGACGGATGCATCTCGATGAGGAAATGGCAGATGTCCTGCATGACCTTCATCTTCCGGGAAGGCACTGCAAGTCCTGCAACTTGCCTCTCAATTTGTAGGAATAGTCCTGTGCTGCAGACCACTAGGCCCCTAGGAGACTTATTTATTAGTGTAGGAGGCCCTAAACTTCGATGGTGTTCATTTCCCACACATGTCTCAGTAAAGAATGGCATTGCTGTAATAGACCAGTGAGATATACTGTTGAGCGTCAAAATGATCAATTTCTTTCATTCTGTAGTATGACAGATAGCAGGGGAATTGACATAACCCTGAGACAGGATATACAGCTGGAGTGCTGTTCAGGCCATGTGATAGAAAATTGCTTCTGATCACCTTTACTGAAAGGAATGGGGTGGGGGATGCACCTGGTGTGCAGTTTTGACCCAGCAAATGCTGTGTTGGTTTCCTCCAGTAAATATATCACGTCCAGAACTGTTAGGTAATATTACCACCTTGTTACATTTCCAACAATCTACTGTTCTCCAACATCCACGTGGCTTTTGTGTCAGCTACACAGGTGAGCTATATGGAGATGTAGTGGGATTCTCACCCCTGTGTTTTGTATAAATATAAACCCACTTGTTTACCAAGATGGGCTTCATTCTTTCCTGAAGACCTGTGTCCATCTGGTCTGATTTCCCTCCAGGCAGAACTTCCTTTAGTAATCGTGCTATGCAGATCTGCTGGTAACAAGTTTCTGTTAATCTTAAATGTATTTTTCCCTCATTCTTGAAGTATATTTTCTCTGGATATGCAATTCTGGGTTAATAGTCTTGTTTAGAAGCTCTTTAAAGATGTTATTCCACCATTTCCTGGCCTCCACTGCTTATGATTAGAACTAAGAGATTATGAAATTGTTGTTCCTCTGTAGTGATGTGTTGTTTCTCTCTGATTGATTTCAAGATTTTCTCTCTTTGGCTTTCAGTGGTTTGACTCTGTTGTGTGGGGGTTTTTTTGTATTTATCCTGCTTGGGGTTCACTGAGCTTCTTCAATCTGTCCATTTGTGTCTTTTACCAAATTTGGTTAATTTTGGCTATTATTTCTTCAACTTTTTTTGGTCTCATTCTCTCTTTTCCTTCTGGGGCACCTTTGGATATTGTCCCACAAGTCTCTGAGGCTTTGTTTATTTATTTTTGATCTTTATTCCTCTCTGTTCCTCAGATTGGATCATTTCTATTGATAGATCTGTTACTCTTCAGCTTTCTATTTCCCCATTCTATCCTTCCTGGCTTGACTCCAACTTTGTCATGCAATTTATCCACTTTCGTAAGGGCTATGGGGTTTCTGAGGGGTCAGAGCTTAGTGCTGGCACAGTGGGACTGAGGGTCAGAGAGGATGAGGAGAAGGCCTCCTGGAGGCAAACGTGGTTTATCTCTAGGGAGAGCTTGGCCGCCCAGGCAGGTAGGACATAGCATATATTCATGCCAAGAGAAAGACAGGCAGATGAAATGTAAGTGATGAAGCCCTGGGAGAGAGGTGTGGGCTAGAAAGATCAGAGTAGGCTTCCTGTGGGAGACAGTGGGAGGGTGGAGGTCTCAGGGTCTGGTAGGTACTGAGTACCAGGTGTTCTCTGATCTCAGTAGATCCACACAGCAACTCCACCTGGGAAATATTATTATCCTATGGAAGAGATGAAGAACCCAGGTTGAGACAGGTTTTCTGGGGCCCTAGATAATGCAGCCGATTAAGCGGCCATGAGACATGAATGTGTGGCTCAAGGTAACATGAGGTAGGGAAGCCTTTCTTGATGGGGCAGGATTTGAGATGTTGGAAGACCATGCTCATCCTCTGAATTCTCAATCCAAATACTGCTTGTGATCCAGGATTTTTTCTGGGCAGTATTAGTCCCAGAACTTGAACTAGAACCTGCTGGATCCTGTGTTCCTTCTGCCATATTGTGCAGATGCTATCCTGGCTCTGACATTAGCATTGACCAGCTGGGTGGCCCTGGCAGGTAACTTCATCTCTCTAGCACCACCATCCTTATTTTGAGTGTGAGGGAATACAGACTTGACTTTGCATAGTTGATGTAGGGGATCAATGAATTAATGTGCTGTGAAGTTACGTGAAAAGTTTCAAAAGCACTTACACACATGAGGTCTTTAAGGATTATTTGTTCCCTCTTTTTTTTTTGACAAGGCCACATTCATATAGCAGCACAAACTTACTCATTCCTTTAGTAAAGAAATATTTTATGTGCTAGGTGTTACTCTAGGTGTGGGTATACAGCAGTGAGCAGAACAGATAATTATGTTCCACTCTGCAATTACCTCTCTTGGTTTAAACCTTGTGCTTTTCAGCCTCATTCTTGGTGGCTGAAAACTCTGAAGAAATCAAGTTACCCAGCTATTACATAACTAACTCAGTTTCCTTGTCAGTGGTGTCAGAATCATGCCTATTTTACAGGGTCATCATGAGGTTAGAATGAGGCGATGTATGACAAGGAGTCAGCACAGAGCCTGGTGTGAAGCAGTTAGCATTCTTGACTACTCACTCTGAATGTCGATCCATGGTGGGCACATTTAATTTTCCCCCTTGGGCTTGCTACTTTTGCAGTTTCCTTATCAGTGAATATGTGGCTTTTCTTTTTAAAAACTTTGTGTTGCTCTAAGAAAAACAGTGAAATGCTCCCCGAACTCCTCCTCTGAACTGCCCAACAAGAAATGCTCCAAACCACCAGTCCCAACTCCAGACCTCATGTGACATCTCTTCATTGGTTCTGCCTTGTTTTTCTTTTTCCCTCCCTCCAGGTTATGGGCTCCAAATCCCCTCCCAACTGAAACCCCTCGAGCCTTATCCCACCTCAAATGCCTCGAATCCCCTCCGCACTGAAACGCCCCAAACCCACCCCCATCCCAAACCTCATAGGACCTCTCCTCACTCTTCTGCCTGTTTTCTCGCCCCATCCCCTCAGGTTATGGGCACGCAGCCCCTGGCACCGACGCGGGAAAGGCCTTCTGCATGTTCTACGCCGTGCTGGGCATCCCTCTGACGCTGGTCATGTTCCAGAGCCTGGGCGAGCGGATGAACACGTTCGTGCGCTACCTGCTAAAGCGCATCAAGAAGTGCTGTGGCATGCGCAACACGGAGGTGTCCATGGAGAACATGGTGACCGTGGGCTTCTTCTCCTGCATGGGGACGCTGTGCATTGGAGCTGCCGCCTTCTCCCAGTGCGAGGAGTGGAGCTTCTTCCACGCCTACTACTACTGCTTCATCACGTTGACTACCATTGGGTTCGGGGACTACGTGGCCCTGCAGACCAAGGGCGCCCTGCAAAAGAAGCCACTCTACGTGGCCTTTAGCTTTATGTATATCCTAGTGGGGCTGACTGTCATTGGGGCCTTCCTCAACCTGGTGGTCCTCAGGTTCTTGACCATGAACAGTGAGGACGAGAGGCGGGACGCTGAAGAGAGGGCGTCCCTTGCCGGAAACCGAAACAGCATGGTCATCCACATCCCTGAGGAGGCGCGGCAGGGCCGGCCACGGTACAAGGCGGACGTGGCGGACCTGCAGTCCGTGTGCTCCTGCACGTGCTACCGCCCACAGGAATACGGTGGTCGCTCGGCGGCACATCAGAACTCCGTCAGCGCCAAGCTCGCCCCCCAGTACTTCCACTCCATCTCTTACAAGATCGAAGAGATCTCACCAAGCACATTAAAAAACAGCCTCTTCCCATCCCCCATCAGCTCCATTTCTCCTGGGTTACACAGCTTTACCGACAACCACAGGCTGATGAGAAGGCGGAAGTCCATTTAGGGTGTGGGGAGGGAAATACGAACAGAAAAAGTCATTTGTCATATTTGATGTTGTGTTCCATCAGCCCAACTCGTCTTTTCTTCCTTATTTATTATTATTATTATCCTTTATTATTATTATCATTGTCATCATTATTACTTTCTCTCCTTTGTTTCCTGGTTTCATTGCTCCCCCAACTTCCCAGCGAGACAGAGCAGGCCAAAGGGAAAAGAAAGGCCCGTCCTCTGAAACTCGCAGCTGAGCATGAAGCATGGATTTCTTCCTTCCTTCCCAGCGACGTATGCCTTACATTTCTCCCCAACCTGCCCCATCTCTGGGGTGGCTTTCCCAGGACAGGTGTGAGACCAGGACCAGGTGACAGAGCTGAGAGGATACCCAACCCAAAGTTGCACACCAGGCTGAGAGCTTTTGAGCGCCCACCCACAGTGGTGTCTCTGACCTAACTCCTTTCTCTTTTCCTCCCAAGCAGTGGGTGGCTATGTATGTGTGTATGTGTGTGGTTTGAGTGTGTGTGAATGAATGCACACGCGAGTGTGCTTGTGTATGTGAACCATGTGACAAAATGGAAAGTATCAGGTATTCATTCTCCTTCTCATCACACAATTTTGTTAATAGCCTGCTTTTGGCTGCTTCCAAACAAAACGGGAAAACAAAACCCACGAGGTTTTTGATTTATCATTTTGCCAAATCAAGCATGTTCCATAAGCAGTCTTTATCCCAGATGTGTCATGACCATATTTTTGAAATGCTAGGTTCTAAATTATATTAACTTCTTTTTAGGGGGTGGGTGGGCAAGAAGACATGGATCATTTTAGCTTGCCAGTTCAAAAATTTTTTAAAAGCATGCACTTTGTTAAACTGGTATGCATTATCAACACAAGAAAACAAAACTAGCAATGGAATAATCAAAAGCCAATAATAATAATTTATTAAAGACATTTTTAATTTTGTCATCTCCGGTTCCAACAATTTACCATGCAACTGGAAGTGTCAGGAGAAACTGGAAAATTGTTGGAACCACAGAGTATCTATTTTATTATTTCCCTCTTATTTAGATGATGATGATGATGGTGATGATGATAATGTTGCTGGTGATTTGTGCAGCATCAACCTGCACGAATAAGAATTACAGTTTGGGATGTTTGGATGAGAATGGGTATTAGAAGGTGGATGTAGTTTCTTTTCCTAATAAAAAAATGACAGGGCATTCCTTGTTTAAAAAAAACTCCGTATATATGTATTTCAAGAAAGATGGTCTCTAGTTGCATTTGATTTGTAAATAGGGGAAAGTTCATGTTGGTCTCAGGAAGAGTTTAGAGGCAAGAAGCTGTGTCTTGGCCTGCTGGGAACTTGTCAGTCTCAGGGGAAGATTTGTCTGAGTAGTGGAGAGATTCCTCCCCACTCTCACTAGGGGATGACACAAAAGAGAAGGCCTTCCAATATCCTGGGGTACAGAGAGGCTATAGAACATGGCACATTGGAGGCCCTTTCAATGACAGGAATGAAGGAAAGTCTGATCTCCAAATTCCCAGAGGGGAATTTCCTTTCCCCATCACAATCCTGCCATTTCTAAAAATTACCCATCCTCCCACTCGTTTTTCATAAACTGGAAGTTCATGGCTCTTGAATGGAAATGGGCTTTGGCAGTACTGCTCAGAAGGAGCCCCAGTGGGACCTCCTAGAGTGGAGGATCCACTCCCTAGAAAGAGTAGACCTACTAGATTTTTTAAAGGAGATAGCAACAAATGCCACCAGTCCCAAGCATTTGGGCCACTGGACTGAAACACAGTATTCAAGACTCCTCTGAAAAGGCATGCTCTTTAATGTTGCATCCCACGTAGAAAACGGCCCCTTCGTCCAGGACACGGGGCCTGTGGAAGGAGTCTCTAGGCCAAAGTGGACAATGATCAATCTTCACGGTCTGTATTGATTCACTTGTTTATAAGATTTTTTTTTTTTTTTTTTTAATTTTAGGGCTCTAAAGTCTGTCCAGAGAATAGAAGCAGTTGCTCTTAAAGTTTCTTTTTTTCTCTTGGGAGAGATTGTTGGCTCTAGGGGGTCATAGGCACAAAAATACTAATGCATCTTTGGAGGGTGCTTCATGCTTTGGAGGGGGCTGCTTGGAATAAGTGTGGGGTTTCTCCTTTGTAAGATTTGCCCTCAAATGGGAGTGTGTGTGATAATCTTTAATCTGTAAAAGAAATTGAGGCACAGGGAGGATGCGTGATTCGCTCAATGTTACACAGCTGGTCTTTGACAGAACTGAGACAATAGTCTCAGTCTGGATCCCAAAAGGGTCCAAGAAGCTGACTCCACCATGCCATGGCATCCTAATTCGTCCCTCAGATGAGGGAAGCTGCTTCTCTTTCTCCACCGGTAAATGCACCAGGCTCTTGAAGTCAGTTTGAGGAATAAGGGCTCGACCCTTCATCCAGGACTGGTTCCCCCACTAAAACATCCATGTAAAGTGATCATAAAGTGGCCTGCTTCTGCTTGAAGACTTCCAGCGACAGGGAGCTCCTCCCTTCCCTGGAAATTTTGGAAAATATTCCATATTCGCCATTCCCACAGAGCTGACTCTTCTTGATAGGATTAAGGATTGTAGGATGAAGTCTTCTCTTTCTGTGATGACCACTGACTGAAGCATCTGAAGCAACTTGGAATTTGTCTTGGTTCTATAGCCCTCTTCTTTCTTCTCCCCTTTGCCACCAGTTTGACCCTCTGAAGGACAACAACCGAGTCTTCCCTTTCTAAGTGAAACATCCTTGTTGATACTCAGAGCGTTCAGGGGGCAGAGCTGACACTTGGCTTGCTTCCCTCGTGATGTCCATCTTTTCCTCAGGTGGTCCATCTATCCCCTACCATCGTCTCTGGCCAAGGAGTTCCCTAGGTGCATCCAGTGAGGTGCTCTCATGGGGCTCTGTGGGACTCTTCTCTCTTGTTAAAATGGGACTGGGGCATCTCCATCTACAGCTTTGCCACCCGAGACCTGCTCACTCAATCAGAATTAGAATCCTCAAAAAGTCTGAGTCACCTCGATGAGCTCCCTCATTTTCAGAGGAGGAAATAATTGAGGTCCAGAAGGGGTGAACGCACATTTAACGAGTACAGAGCCAGAATCTAGGTCTTCCCACTCGTTTCTCCTTCTCCCATTTTCTGGGCTGCTTTGTTATTGCTGTTGCTTATACCCGCCAAAGATCCCTCACTGCTGGACATGTTAGCATCTCAGGCCCAGGTCTCTGCTTCCTCTTCTGCCAGTTAACCATGCCCATTCAGTGAGGGGAAGAAATCACACCAGCTTGTTTTTGGATACGGGCTTCGACTTCTGTTAGAATGAGCTGAGGAATAACCAAATTCCACCAGAATCACAGAAGGTTGGCCCATCACCCAATCCCTGGGGTGGGGACTAGAAATTAATATGCCTCATAGAAACTTAGAGCCCCCACTTGGATGTTTTCCAACTAAGAAATCTCAATCCATCCACTCCATCAAAAACAGGAGGAAGATGGGTAGTGCTATGGATTATCCCAACAGCTCTTGGCTCCCTGCTTTCTAGAAACGATTCCATTTTAATCTTCTTCACACCTATCCTGGGTAGATGGTACTGTCATATCATTGGACTGTTAGATTCATTTTGACATAGAAGTGAACCAGCCTGTCTGGGTGGTGAGACTCCTGGTTAGCTGTGGAGCTGGGATGGGATCTCTTCTTTCCATCTGCACCACCCTGTCCTGAAACCTGGGCAGCAGCCTTTTAAGCGCAGTGGGCTGCTTGGTGCTCTAAATTTAAATGCTCTCTCTGAAGTGTCTGTTGTGCTCCTGCTGTGCATCACCGATTGGGAGGAGGGGGCCTCTGCTTCAGGCATGATCAGAGTAGAGCATTTGCAGCCCAAGAATCCCCACTGGGTCCCTAGTTCTTCCAGGAGAGGAAGCAAATGGACGCAGACTGCTGCCCAGGAGGCCCTCCTTTGCGGTGCTCATTAAAAACCCATCCATGAAACAGGAGATTGACTGCTCAATCTCGGCTCACTGTTTGTTCTCTGCACACAGAGCCTTAATTAGGAGAACATCTGGACAGTAACTCAGAAACCCACAGATAAGCCTAGGTGGGTCATTTTTCTCAGCCTCATCCAGATCGGGAAGCCTTATGGGTCCTGATTCCTAGTGATGATCACCAGCAGCTGGAAGCTGGAGAGAAGGGTTTAGAGGCATTTGTTGTCTGTGTGCTTTGAGTTGGAAAGCGAGGTAAGAGAGCAAAAATCATCAAAGAAGGAAAAATCACCCATCACTGAGGTTTATGAGTCAGTTTCTTTATGTAACCTTTTAAAATAATAGGCCCTAATTAAGATACCCTAATTAAGGGCATCCACAGAGATGCTAGGTCTGAGACCTGTGCTGGAAGATGTCCGTTCTGTTAGTGTGATAGGTGCTGCCATCTGCGAACGCTCCAGTGAATTGTGGCTTTGCTCTGAGAGGGGTGTGACTTGGGGCCTGTCACATGCAGGCCTGCTGCTGGGGTCTAAAGTGTGTTTCTTCCAGAGTCACGGTTTGTGTGGGACCCAAGAAGCATCCCACGCAAGCAGAGGTTGGCAGGGCATGGACCTGGCCCACAGCTTCTGCTTCGCTGGGCTTCTGGAAGTCATTTCACTTCCCTGGGCCTCTGTAGCTTCCTCATCAACATAATGGGACAGTTTGGGTGAGATTTATGAGCATTTAGCACAAAATGAATTTGACGCATGAAGACATTTGGCCTGGATGTTCTGGTCACTGAGCACATTTGAAGGTTGAGCCACCAAAAAGAAAACCAAAAATCATTTTGTTTGGCAGGGTACTGGGAGCTGGGAAGATGGAGAGGGAACAGGCCATGTAGCCATAGCCCCGTGCATTCTGGGTTCCCAAGTGCCCTGGGCATAAATCCATTTTATGTGGTTCTTTCTCAACCACACCTTGGCAGAGGCTGCTGTTTCAGGGGAAAAAAAAAATCTATTACCATGATTTCCTCCCCACCAACTTTGTTTTGAAAATTCCAGATTTACAGAAAAATGGAAGGAATAGTGTGATGAACTTCCATATGCCTCTCACCCAGACTCACCGGCCTTCAGCGCTTTGCCCCATTTGCTTAATCCTCTCCCACCCTCCCCACCCCCCACATTCACACTCAGAGGTATTTGAAGGATGAAGTGATGTCCATGACTTTTAGGTGGTTCAGCCGAGAAAGAAGTCATCTCCCAGGAACAGGAGCATTCTCCTAGATAGCAGTGCCATTATCACCTCTAAGAAAGTTAGTATTCATACAAAATATCTAATATCCCACCCATATTCAGATTTCCCCAATTGTCCCCAAAATGTCCTTCAAAGCCTTTTTGTGAGTCTGAGATACAATCCAAGATTGCATCCCATGTTGCTTCTCTGGTTGCCCCAGACTCCCCCAATCTAGGACATTCTCCCTCACCATTTTTGTCTTTCATGACGTTGCCATTTTGAAGGGTCTGGGCCAATTGTCTGTGGGTTACGCCGTGATTTGCTTCTGTTGGTTGGCTTCCTCAGGTTAAGGAATTTTAGGCAAGAGAATGACAGAGGTGATGTTCTGTGGCCATGATTAATGCATTTGATAGGTTTGGCACTCTGGAGACCTCTGGGATTACCTCTTTCATGGTAGATAAATAAGTCATATTAAGCGGTCTCCTCTGTTAGAGAGACTAAGAGAAGCTTCAAAAGAGGTGTCCACGAGCCCCTGGACGCTGGGTCCCATTGCCAAAGCTGAACAAGGCTCTGCTCTTTCTGATTTCACACATGGATCTCTCTTCTGTGCTGAGCAAGCATCAGCAAGCTTTCCCCTAAGCACCTGTGGGGATGATCCGGCTATAAACAGACCTAGAGCACAGAGACGTGCTTTCATCAATTGTAAAGGGCGAGCAGGTGTAACCCAGGAGGGTTGCTGTAAGGATCCCTGTAAGCCAGTTGGGGTACTTTGGCCCCAGTAGCTTTTCAATGAGTGGGAATGATTGCCAAGGCTATCATTAGTAATCATAAAAATGTGACTTGTTATGGCAGTACTCTTGGCCATTATTAAGGCTATAATTTGTGACCTCTGTCTCTGAGATATTTACACTGGAAAGTTCAGTAGCACAGCCTTCTCAGTTCTGATAACATAAAGAAGTCCACATGCTCTGGTTAAGTAACCTTTCAATTTTGATCAAGAAAATAT